CTTTGTAATAGTAACGCCGATAGAAGGGCAATAAAAAAGGGGCTACAAGAAGATTGCACAAGATCTAATATGTAGTGAGGCTGAGTACTACTGCAAATTTAAGACCTACAGAGTAAACTTTACTCTACGTAACAACGACGCCAACAACAGTGGTAAATGATTCAAAAATTAGATAAACCAACAGATTTAAAAAAGGCTGCTAACTAACATTTTTGCATTCTCTGGGTGTTAGACGAACGGACATTCACTGGCATATTGGCGTCTTCCACTATCGGCGCATCCACAACCGGCCTGCTTATTTACCCAGTCGTGCACCTTGAACCAAAGAAGCTCTTACGCGTAGGGACTATGGCTATAAAAAAAAAACCGCGGTTACGCGCATCTCTCTACATAGCAGTCCTAAAATTGAACAGGTTTTGTAAGATACGAAGTAATATCATTGGAAAGCACTTCACTGAACTTCATATATATAGATATGAAGTTCAGCATATATATATATAGCAAGCCCAGATGGCTGCCCGTTTATTGGCATTAATTTATCTAGGGACCTTTTCCGTTTCTGAATAATAAGATTAGAATCTTATTTTAATAGTTTTTCAATCTTGTCCTATTTTCATTATTCTACGAAGATAGTGTAAAAAGGTCTACTAAACTAAGCAAAGAAAGCATACCGATACGGACGAAGTTGCTCTATTATTTACAGCGGAATAACATATTTGTAGATGGCTACAGCAGTCTGAATCTTCCTATCTCATCAGGCCATGTTTTTCTACTCATTTTCAGTAGATGTACGCTTTCAAGCACACTGCGCCTAGAGCGCCATTATCGTCTAGTGTGGCTTGGGACCAGCAGAAAAACCATATGAGAGCTGCTATAGCCACCGACGTCTCACTCGTTGAGATTGCAGGAAACGCTTTACCCACTCAGGCCCAACCGAACTTGCCGAAGGGATTGGCTAGAAAGAGTTACCTCTTCGTTTATGCTGAACTCGTTGATTTGGTAAACCATCGAGCGAACGAAACAGAAGCACATTAATAAAATGACTGGCAGGTTGAGGTGGACTATTTCCACCAGCTGACAGTAGCGGTTTAGAGCGATCACTACTGCCTTTTGTTTTTTTATTTTTCCTGAATGATCTCTCAATTAGCACAGTCATGCGCCAAGTTTGTGAGAGGAGATGCTTTGGTATACGGCAGCGTTCTCGCAATCCGCGGGACAAGTCGCTTCAACGGAGGTTCAACGGAGACTGACCTGCCTTTCATAGTGAGTAACGGAAGCCAGCTTAGAAAAAGATCAGGGCTATGAAGTTTCGACAGGGAAGGTAGCAAATGATTCTTTGGTTGTACCTAGACTATGTAAGTGTTTGTGTCAATCGGGCTTGTTTTTACTTCCTAACATTTGCTACACTAGCATGCAATAGATAAAACGCTAGAAATGAACAGTAAAACAAAAACAGAAAAGTAAAGGAAAAAAAACACTTTCTCTTCTTAAGTATGGCGACATGCCTCTATGTCATGCTTGCACAAATGGCCCCATGTGGCATTAACTCATCGGGGATTCTCAGCACATCTCAGTTGTGACGGCGCTATGGTAGGCGGAGCATAAAACAAAAACTGGAACGTGATGGTCCAATATATAATTTCACAATGTCTGTCCTAATGAATTCCATCATAATTCAAAAAGCTTGAATGAGCTGTCATAATTCGCAGGCAAGGCCGCTATAAGGCGTGCGCATGTCAACGAACTGGTTTTAAATACCGTAGCGCATAGACGAACACTACGGTTGTACCACTCGGTACTGTGACTTTATTTAATGAAGACTAAAATAATTCATTGTTTGTGTACAAGGAGTCCTACAAATTTGATATAAATTACAGAGTAAATTGTCCTTTTTACTGGAATATTTTAAGATAATGACGTTAGGATGTATTCGAGTACCGGATCTTTGCTTTTAGCTATTTCATTCTTAATGTTTCGTGGCTAAGAAGCACTGTACTATGGCTAGTCACTATGATTCCTGTTGAGAAGAAAGCCGCATAAAGCCTTACGCCATAAAGCTTATAAAGGCTGTCAGTGGTGCGAACGTCAGAAACGTATTATACAGGTCTGAGGAGAAAGGAATAACTGTCTCAATTGTTCTTCGTACGAAGCTAACAATTGTACGAGCTCAAAAATGCCGTCCTGAAGGGCTGAGGCATTGTTAGTGTGGACCCCCCAGCAAATTCGTAACGTCAATGGCGCTTCAAGGATAAGCGCTCTTTAATGACGCTGAAATAAACTGACCTCAAAGATCAGGACTTAGTACTGGCCTTTTCGACAAAGACAAGGAAATCAGCTTTGACGCCTTCCCGCTAGCTATGTAGGGGAAATATTTCTATACCTTATATCGTTTTATGCGAAAGAAGGTATATTATTTCCTTTCATAACTAATCCTTGTATTAGGACTGTAAACGAAGCAGCTTTTAACGTTGGGGTTATTTTTTCGCCTGTATGGCTACACATTAAGAACTAGTTCACATAAGATTTGCTCGAGACCCCTAAACTCCAAAGTAAACATTTCGGGGTCTCGAGCAAATCGGAAGTGACGTACGTGTAGGAAAATGAAAATGCTTCGAACCAATGTACCGTAAATAACCATAGTTGTCTCGTTACGGAGCTCAAACGGCTTTTCGGCTACGTCTCTTTGATCATACTTATTTATATGTCGATTATTACAATCGAGTCGTCCGATTAAACCTCAACCACTCCTCTTGACGGAATGGCCACGGAGGTCTGTAAAGCCAGCCGAGACTATCAACTCAGCGAAATTTATGTCTGTGAGCAGATTTGATTAAATAGGCTGGCACAAGTGGGCCTGGGCATACGGTCACAGCAGTCATCTCGCAAAAAAACTGTCTGCGACATTAGCGGGCCAGGTTCGACTTTCGTGGATCGATTTCTTTACAAAGAAGACACCGCGTCTTATGTTCGCTGACTTTTATGATTAGGTAGTGAAAGAAACAGGAGAGTCAAGGCGTTAGAAAGCATACGCTTTGGCGCTGAGGAATTCGGGTCGCGCGGGGAGAAGCGCATAAAAATCGACGAAAGTGAACATGTTCGTGACATCGTTGAAGGATAGCAAGGTCCAATGCACGTTTTGCTAAGTTCTGGACGAAGTTACCGTTATGGATAAAATCACTGCAAATATCACTGCGCCCGCCCCAGAAGACATACACAAAAAATGTACGTTTGAAAACCCATACGTGCAATCTCGGTGTTTTGCCAAATTATATTTGCTTACGATGGTGAATTTGCGTGAAATCAGCCAATTATTTTTTAGCAGCAGGATAGAATTTTCATATCGATACGCGGTCACCAAACATAACACACCGCATTGGTGCTACCCACCAATTTGACCTACGTGGTGTCCTTTCCCTGCCGTACGCTGGCTACTAGAAACGTATCTATGACAAACCATCACCGATCGTGCGCCGTAATTGCTCGGTTTCAACCATGAGTTTGCTCTTTTCTTCCGCTATACCTTGCACGCATTACGGTCTATCGAAGCAAATACAACGTTGTTTTCAACAGGTTGGTAGGGTTAGCCTAGGAGCTTGGGATCGCTCAGGATTTGTTCTTAGTGGTTGTAAATCGCATTTGGTCAGCCGTAATGGTAAGTCACGATAAAATGTTCGTAGAGGCTACCAAATTTCGGACAGCAGGGAATATTAAATATTTACAGCAGAGATCAGCCTTGTAAAATCATGCTGGTACATAACGCATCATTTAAGTGCGGTTTCTTAAGGGTCCTAAATGGAAGAGACTACAGTACAAGATGTACTTGTTTATAAGGGGTATATATTTATGGTAGAGCCTATTTAACTAAACTTGTTAAGAATTTGTTTTTTTTTTGACCATCGACACACCGGAAGATCCTGTCTGGTTTTTTTCGAAGCTTAATTTTTTATGGGATTTTCTTCAATATTCGAGCTATCACACAGCATAAATATTCAGCTTGTGCAATTAGGTCGTTATTTGATGACGAATCGCATATTAGGACTGTAATAAACATGCAAGCGTGATGCCTATCTATAGCCTTAAGCTGTAAGTTATCCTATTGTAGCTCTAGCATCGTGAAGGTAGACACAATAAGTACGAGAATGCTTCTGTGACAAGTACACAGATGTAATCTACTTATCTTTCTGTGAAATATACGCACCAATAGAAGGTCGTCTTTATTGTGTGCCTGAACTTTCTAAAAACGTTTCTATCTTGCTCCGACGAAAATGACCTTTCGTGTTAGCTGAGTTTCGTTAGCGTCTACTTGTTAAAATAACGGTATCTATAGTAAGATGCGAGTGTTTTCCGTAAACAAGTAAAGGGACAATGCAGGAACAAGTTTAACTTACGTTCATAGCCATGCCTCCCCTCTGGAAAGCCGGATGCATGTTGGATAGTTGATCCATATTTGTTGAACATGTATTATTCTTGTATCCTCGTTTCCAATGACGTTAGCTTGTGAAAGACAGAGCGTAGGAACTTGTTTCATATCCATATAGGTTTCAATATACCAATCTGAATTATACTCGTAACAAAAGATGATCATTTCAAGCTTGTGCCGTTTGATGCCACGTTGTTGCACTTTTCTTTGTCCGATATTCTTGATTTTACCGATCAATGAGTTCCCTTTACATGAACGTTTATGAGACATATATAAATGATTAAAATATGATTATTCTTTTCAAACAGGGTAGGAACGTCCGGAAAGGATTTGTGTAACTACAGACACAGCAAGATAGCTGAGTTGTCCACGGTCCTCATTAATACTTTGGTAACTTGCTAATTACTGTCAGAACATGAATGCAATTTTTAGTACAGTTTCTCGCTCATGCCAGGTAACAAGCAACATGCCGCACCATGTAGTTAAATAGTGTATATATATATATATATATATATATATATATATATATATACTATTCGGTATTTGGTACTCCGATACTCGTGTTTCCATTACTGCCGTGTATGGAGGATACGATATAAATTCCAGCTGCTAGCCCAAGAGCTAATATCTTCAAGCTATTTATAATACTAACTAATAATAACTATAAGCTTATCACTATATTGAATAATTTTTTTTAAAGTTACAGGAAGTGCTTTATATATATATATATATATACAAAACACATGAAATATAGCATTGTTCATATACATATGAACAATGCTAGGCTTACAGTTTTCTTGGAAATGCCTTGATAAGTTCTCGGGTTAGCAGCTGGCTTTTATAGCGATCCTTTTATATCCTGATAGTAATGGAGACATTTCTTCTATGACATGACCATCCGAGGAGCACTTCGAGTACAACACGAAGCACCGCATGCGCCGTTTGTCTAGGGCATAATGTCCGCTATATGTAGTATTTGTGTTCAAACTTCTAACACATTACTCCATCGACTCGTTTTAGACGTCTCCGTTACGAGCCAGCCTTTCTTTCCTAGCCATGTTTTATCTACTGACTAGACGACTTAAGAGCTCAAACTACCTCAAAATCAATCCGACACTACCTTATATGAAATCAATCAGAGTTCGATACTGTCGGATGTTCGTTTCCTAGGAACACTAGCTTCCGGCCGCCTAACAATTGACAGACTCCAATACAGTCTTCCAGCCGTTACACTATACAAAATTGTTTATTTCTAACGAAATGCGGGTGTTTTCGCCAGCCAAACAGAGCACCCTGGCGTCTTTTGTTGTGTCTTTTCAATTAAATCCTGAACCCTGAAATATATCCCTTTTTGTAGATATTGGCAGTTGAGCAAAGATGTTTCTCCTAGAAGAATCTACCCCAAAGTTTTGGCTGTTAAAGGATAAACGTTCCCCTCCCATTTATCGCAATGATTAACTGCCATATTTCTAAGACTGGTTACGCCTGTTGGCCATTGCGTCATTATTGGGCAGGGTCGTAGGTTTTCAGTAGTCGCCGCGTCCACGGTTACCACTGCATCCAGTGAAACGACAGGAAGGCGCATCTAATTGGTAGCCACTTGTATGCAGGTGTTCGGGAGCGAATAAGGGATTCTGACTGCAACAGCCGTCACCGCGGGCTGCTTGGAAACACCACATCCGTCGCTCGCGGTTTCGCAAAACTTCCTCGCGCATGTGTTTGTCTGGTGGCGGCTTTGCCCAACAAACCTAAACGAGTCAATGACCAAATTATTATTAAAAAAAGAAAATATTAAATTAACGCGAAGGCATTGATACAGCTTTATTTCAATATTTAATTGCAAAGGCAGGGCCATCTCTTTCGTACTATATATATATATATATCAGGTATACATGGAATATCAATCAAATCAATAAGCCTACAATATATTGAGGGTAATAGATTATACATACTTGTAGTCGTTGTCCATGAAGCACGAGATCTTTGCAGACCTCCAGAGCGGCTTCGGCACGTCCACGCGTTATAAAGTGTACGAATCCAAAATCGCGAATTACCTTTACGCGTTCGACCTGAACACCTCGCATCTAAGAACCAAGTCATAAAGTTAGTCCCAAATCAAGGCCACCATGTAAATTCTTATAGAATCTTTAATCATAGCGTTTGTTGAAATATTTGTATTACATTCGTGTTGTGATTTTTGTTGATATATACCCGCCAGATTCTACACGAACTCCAATGATTTCAGAAATGGTTCCTGTCCGCTTGGTAGCACACGTAACTTTTTAATTGGTTTTCAGTTTTAAACTGCCCTGAAGCACCCTGGATCTTCAGATTACATCATCGAGCACTTTCTATAAATGGTCGAGCACACCCCGGATTAAATTATTGATCACGTACCTCGATTGCTCTGCGTATATCGTTCTCGGTAGTGGTAGCCGCAATGTTCTTCAAATAAAGTACCTTCACGTTCTTCATTACTTCCTCATCCGGTTCATACTCAGGATCGGCCCAGTCAGCGACGACGTTACAGCCCCACGGTCTGGAGGCAACGATTGCCTCCTTAGCGATCATTGCGCACTTCACTGAGCTAAATTCAACGAAGCAAAAACCGCGACTCCGTTCTGATCCTGGATACGCGTAAAGAATGACGTCAGTGACGCCTAGGAAGCACCTCTGAAAGTACTCTAGAATTTCGGGCTGGGTCTTACTTTTGGGAATGTTGGCAACGTAGAGACGTCTACTCATTTCAGGGGGATGCGGAGTTTCTCTTTTGTCAATCTCGTCCTTTACACTCTTCGGGCAATAGACGCCCTCGAATACCTTCCGGTAACCTTCGAAGCTACGCACCGGCCAACTTCCAGTTCCGGGTCGATTTTCACCGGAGCCCCCTCTCGCCGATAACGATGATTGCCCGTGACTTACCCGACGAATCTTTAAAGCTTTCGCTCCGTCGTCTCGGAGTGTTAAACCGCTTAGCTCTAATTCGGCATTGATGGCGTCTGTCTTGCTTCCATACATTGCAATTGCTTCACCACTGGAGGAACCTTTTGAGTCCACTTGTAAAGTAAGACATAACAGTGACTCTGAGCTTTCGTCTGGTCCTAGGAACAAAAGCGCCAGCTGACCCAACGATGTACCGTTCGATATTCCAGAGATATGCAACTGTTTAAAAAGGATGTCACAAAACATCACGAAAACAACTATAAGTGGGCAGGTCAATAAGTGAAAGTTCTTTGCTTTTGTAATTGGACGTCTCGGACCGAGTTGATATAAGACCTCTAAATTAATGCTCCGTTTCAGGCTATTTGAAATGCCTGTATCGGCATTACACTCGATTGCATTGATTTATCATTCAATAATTCATCAACGTGTCAATTTGTTTATATACTCAAAAAGATTTTCTATATGAAATAGTTAGGTGTGATCATGCTCGTCTATCTACCCTGCACACTACCAGCAAATAACGGCGTTAACGATAGCTACATATTGTTGCCGTTACTAGTCATAGTGCATTGTATTTGAGGAACCGGAGAGCTGGAGCCTCAGAATAGGCTGCGATCTCAGCGATGATAGCTTGACTACAATCGTAGCACCTAAAATAATTTGAAAACCTTCCCGTAGCCATATATGTTTTAACATGTTAATGTAACGATGTGTCGATTACGTCTTCGGTTACTGTTTATTTACATGTACGTAATTTTTGGAGGACTAGGCAGTACTGCCGGACACAGGCCGATACACATCTTTATTCAAAGACTTTTCTAGTAATTACATTCAATTGCGGCTGGAAAATTGTTACTGATGATGTTTGACGTTGTTTGTGTTAGCGTCGTAAAAGAGCGTACTCCGACATGTTGTAGCCTGCTCAACATCGAGGCCAGTTAGTTCCAAATTTAACGTCATAAAATGGCTTCCCCACTCCATTTTAACTGTTACACACTTCAGGGCTATTTGAGATTTTACCGCCTTCAGCTACGGTTTTTGTCGAAACACGTCCACAGAAGAAACACGTCCACGGAGTCTACCGTCGTGGATCTTCCAAGAATGATCTGACGTTTCTCCTATACAATGGCGAGGTAATTATTTGCCGAAACGCAAACTTAATTTCTCCCTAAACGCTTTTCCTCATAAATAACATATTTTGAAAGCTTGGAATACTCCGAATGTCAACATTCGGTTTCCTTGACACACAAAATTTGTCAACATTCGGTTTCCTTCACACACAAAATTTGTATTTGATCGTTCATGCAGAGTAACCTTTATTCATTGGCCTTTGCATGCCTACCAGTAGTGGTGCTTCTAACATCCAATTAACGATCGATTATTTTTGCAGTTGGTCTCAGCCCTCGACTATCAACGCCATGGCGATATTGGCGCCAATATATTTCCAGCATCAGTAAAGCCAAATGACGGTTTCGATCATAACTGATAAACTAATCAGCTGGGTTTGTTTACATATTTCCTTTACAAAGTAGTCGAACAGTTGCTGTTGAGCAGAACGCCTATACAACCATTAGTCTTTAAAGTAATCTATGGATGAATAAATCTGCGTCTCACTACCCGCATAGATTTCCGACAAAAACATTATGTTACACGTGATGGCAAGTAAACATAAACCTGGTTTTTATTGGATATCCTGCAAATAACACTGGGTTTCGTTTAAAAACGTGCGTCTTGCCACAATGGAGATGGTATATCACGTGAAAGTAATTATATAACCCGTAACATTTGATGCACGTTTCTACAGGGGTGAGGCTTTCCACGCTTCCAAAGAAAACCCATACACACTGATCCATAGTGCCACAAACCGGTTCTCCTGGACCTATGCAACTACTCGCTGAACCCAAATGAGTTCACAGATGGAATACACTTAGTAATAGATTAGCTGAAAGATTAATAGTGACTACTGCCAGTTCTAATTTATCCAAAGCCTTTTGTAATAGATTAATTTTCATTGCCGTTCCTGAAGTTATCCTAGAGCCTAAACCGTTTTCTATATCTTCGTGCAGTACTGACCTCGCATGCGCCATCCAAATTGGCCTCAACAATGCCTCGAAGTCTGAAAGTTACCGCAGATACATCAAGGACAACCTCAAACTGCGGGAACTCCTTAAGGACAGCTCGTACCTCCTCAAATCCTTGCAGAGACCGCACCTCCGGTCGACTTGGATCGGTGGCTGCCATATCCGGCAACAGACTATCCAGCTTCGTTATGCCAATCGCACCGACAAACAGCGGCTTGTACCAATACTCCCTTGAATAGTAACTGCTGGCTGTATGGATGCGTTCGTGTTGTAACCGATCCTTGCTAAAATTCTGCTATCAACATATCGCAGGTGAGCGCGATTATATTTGCCTTAGCGCGTAGTTTTTAAAAGAAATAAGCATATCTGATTTTTCAGTTAGACATTTATTTTACTGTATCAAAATAGACATTAAATAGATGAGATGAAGTAAATTTCCAGCCGATCTTCTTGTACATTTCTCATTTTTTTCGAGCGTTTCCTTCTCTAAATCTTTCGATTAATAGCACAAAAAGTAAGAACACGATAAAAGCCTTTTAATAAAAATCACTTTGTTTTGTGTATTTTTGACAGTTACGTTACTACAGCGGCATTTCTTGCCTGACGTCCAAGAAGCACGAACAATTATTAAGCAGACGGTTCGGTCGTACTCTTTAAGCTTGTTTCAGTCACGTCAGGAATAAATTAACAGGGTAAAAAGTGCAGTTTAGTTAGATTCATTTACTAGCTTTTATTGACGCACCACAGACTTTTCTCGAAAGGTCCGTGTTCAGAAATTGAAGTATGAAGTCGAGAACAACTTAGATCATCTTCGCAGATTTTTGGACAGGGCTATTTTAGCATCTACCTCGACTGCACCTGCTTATTACCTCGCATGAGAAAGTCACCATTCGTCAATACACAGGTATTGAAAAGGCGGTTATTTACAGTCGTGTTTATATGTGTAGAGCGCAGCGCCACTCTATGCCAGTCAGCGCCATCTAATGGCCAGTATTGTCTTTTCTGCCGATCGTAGCGGCCTTACGCTCTATCTATCTAACTTTATTCTCTTTGTTGCGGCTATCGAGACTGTCACATACAAATTGGCTATTGAACCTTTGGTTTACTGGGTCAAAGGTTATGTTAGTGGAAAAGGAGCAGATCAAGATAAAGATAGTGGCGTTGGTAGTGAATGCGGTTCAGGGGACAGTAGTTGTGGAGGCTCTAATGATTCTTTGGATAGTGGTTTGGGTGGTGAATTTCATGAAAATCTGGATACTCTTGTGCATCAGGCAAATAGAGAAAACTATACTATATATGATGTTGCTCATATTGCAAGAGTTAAATATGGGTATTCAGAGGATTCTGCAGACGGTATATTTTTCTGTATTCTTGGCAACCTAGAAACTTTGAATGTCGACCAGGTGTACACTATAGCAACAGAAGCTATCTATATTCAATCCAAACAGTTTAATTATTATCGCTAGAAAAATCAGACAGTTATTTTTATAGCGTTGAGATTTCATTAAAATATAATACAAAAACGATATACTCGATGTAACATCGCACGTCAGATTTGAGCAAATATAAAATTATATACATTTTTCCAAGATACTGCTTACCTACTTATTGAGTCTATGCCGCTAGATATATATATATATATATATATATATATATATATATATATATATATTTAATGTATCAGTAAGCAGATCTAACTATACAGAAAAATCGGTACGTAGGCTTACAAAAATGGTGATGCCTTTGAAATTGTAGTTTTGTGAAGACCACGGTGGAAAGCATACCTTACAAAAAGCACTTTTTATTCTGCGTCGGGCAACCTGACGGTGGAATTGTTCCTAAGTTCTCGGTCCATATTCTCTATTAAGACGTCCTTGACCGTTATCCGAGTTTCTTTAGCTTATATCTTTTCGCATCAGTGAATATCTACTCTGGCGTTTTTCCAAGATTTTCTTCTTTTTTGTTTAAAGTCTTATGTCGCATGAGGCTTTAACTTGCCTGTAGGCAGCCTCATTTCCTGGGTTGAGAATTCACAGGATGAATTTGCGGCAAACCTAAACTATTGACAACTTTAAGTAGTTTATTTTTTGTTATCTTCAAGCAAAGCAGCGCACCGTTAAATCTGATCTATTAAGTAATTGGCATACTAAAACGATAATCTATCGGTATATGCTCACTGCACCAGAGTTGTGAGAATTTACGCCAGAAACGCTCACGGCTTCGTTGGCGACGGATTGAAGACATGGCAATTTAGCTGCGACTTACAGGAACGATGTTCGTTGAAAAAATTTAGGGAGACAATTCGTCGCAAACAGAGGCGCACGCTGAACATAAGAAGATCTGTTATCTGTAGTTGTGCATTTGACAACTGAATGAAAAATCCTTTAGCTGAATGCGGCTCGAGGATCGCACATAGATTGAGCAAACATAATAGATTCATGAGGCGGAACAGGCGTACCTTACCCGTCACAGCGTAGTCACTAACTGTACAAGAGGCACAAAAGAAGCGTAACCTTTGTCCTTCAAAAAAATTAAGTGGGCCAGATCTCTCCGGCCATTCATAACCGTCGATAAAGTAAGTGCAAACAAAAACGATATCAAAGAAACGTTGATCCTCGAGGTTGTCGGGAATGATGGTGCGAAAATTCATTTCTAGCATATTGCCTAACTGGACAATTGCATGAACTATCAGAAGTATTTCAAACAACGCTGTACATAATTAGCCTAGTAAAAAGATTTCGCCAATTCCAAATCTTATTTTATTATTATATTATATTTATATATATAATATAATTTTTTATAAATATTATAAATTAACTTATCTGAAGTTAATCAACGATTATCAAGCGATTGAAGATGTTCGTCACCGTGTCATCAAACGTAGCTGAGCAAATCATGTACGCTTAAGAAAAATACGTTTGAATATATGGGCTACACCTAGGCTTATTTCACGCTCGATACACCTCTCGTCAACTACAGAGGTGCTAGATCTTTGGTATCCTTTGATGTTTGCGCCAACGTTTCTAGGTTGCACAGTTAGTGGTTTTCTACGGCACAATTTACCCAAAATGATCCAGTTTGGGCTCGAAATTACCTGATCGATAGAAAAGACAAATCTAACTGAATATGAATTTGAATAAATGGCTTCCATTGAAAATATATGTAGATATATTTTTCAAAAAAGCAATTTAGTCCACAGAGAAAGCTGGATTTTTCCCCGAGTCTTTTTTCATAAATGATTAGGAGAGCGTCAAGAATATAACTAGTTGCCTGCTGTTTGTACTGCGCAAATTTGTCAGCAGTGTAATGAATATTTTTAACAAAAAATATTATGGCTCCGACCGAGCATGGCCAACCTCTGCACAACGGACAAAGAGCAGATAACTCATACTGTATCATCTGTAATTTCAAGGGCATTTGATGATATTTGCGAATATCATAATAATAAGCCATATCTGCGACACAAAAAATATGACATAGACTAAAAGTATACTTATTAAAAATAATATTTTCAACACTCTGCTTCGTAGTCAAGGTAATTTTGAGAACTGGTATCAATTGTAAAATCCCGTGACAAGGTTACTAGGTCAACTTTTGAATAACAACGCTTATAAGTGTAATTATAAACCTGCATAACGGTACGTTTAGCTGCAAAGACCGGTTTACACAAACTAAGAGTTTATGTCCTTCAGCCCACAAATGTTCCCTGGGAATCTAGCGAATATGTTGGTCTTATCTGTAGCTGTTCTAGCCATAGAAAAAGAACAGGACGGAAATGTCACCAGAATGTATAGTATAGACGAACAATAATGGCATTGGACGCTTTTTTCAGACTCAATGAGTTTTCAGTTCTCCGGGTTACCGCTTCTGATAAACTAAAATGAGATGGAGCAACAAGTTGGTACCTTTAAGTATAAAATGCCCAATCTCTGCATGTATGATGAGAGTGGAACAAACCGATGCCGGAACGAGGACGTCCTCGTACGACGATTGCAGATCAAAGTGATGGAATTCAGATTTTGAATCTGAGGAAGATAGCATACAATATAACGATTCCAGTTAGGTTTTTCAGTGGTACTACACACACAATTTCATTAATATAGCATGCACCCTTCGTTCGGAATCATTAATCGAACTCGTCCAGCCAAATTATTGTAGCTGCATATATTCAAGTTTGATAATATATAAAACAGTGAAATTTAACTACTGTGTAGCCGCAGTTATGCTCAGGGAGCGTATTTGTCTCATCAATCAACACTTGCCAAAATTTTGCTCAATGGCCTTCTGAAGAATACAGATAGTGGACAGGTTTCCATGGAAACACGGAAAAATTTCATGCCGGTTAAGGTAAGAAACACCGATCGAAGGCAATGTATTTCGTAATGGAGCCATAATGCGGAACACACAAACCTTTAAAAAGCATATCTAATTACTGTGTTTCTATAAGAAATTTCGTTTAAACCAAATTCCCTGCTTAACTCTGAGGGAAAATACATTGTTGAAGCTGTTTAGGTAGAACTAAGCAGTTACTAAGTTCAATTGAAGACGCTTGATCATCAAGTACATAAGAACTGTGTCGGCTTAGGAACGTGCGATCAGCGATCTTCTATGCAGGCGATGAGAAGTCGACGTTGAGCGAAAACGGCAGGAATGCATAACATGCATGCGCCCAGATATCATAAGCGTTTAGTAATTAAAGGGCGAACAAAAATCTTTGACAATCGCTCAACTTTTGGGCATTGTTTGAGTTCCATTCCCAGAGCACTTCGTAGCGGAACCTGACGTACCCTTCATCCTATATTGAGCTCCGACTCATGATAAGCAGTCTACTGTTACTAGTCGCTGTAAATTCCGGATCCTGAAGTCAAGGCATTATTAAGTTGAAAAGCTCAACCCTGCACAATTTAAAACTGGTGTCCACTGTACGCTACGGCCCAGTAACTTATGTCAATGACCGTAAATTTATGTCAGTATGTGTTGCGTCTAGCTTGTGGTTTTTGTGACTTGACTTTTGTCTGCCTGATCCATGCCATTGTGCGTGAATAAGTGTACAGCATATAGCATAGAACACGTACTTCCCATAGTACAGTGATTGTATCTATTTGATTGTCACTAGCTAGAAAATCACTTGTCCTTACAAGTTAAAAGAGCTATTTGGAACTATTAAGATATATAATGACGTATAATTTTAGCTAAACGCTTGACAGGCAAACCGACAATTAAACTCTCTTATAGAAGCTTTAAGGTCAATTGATGGTTTCTTCAATCACCAGGAACTAATAACC